AGGATATCCATAATATGTTTATTTATTTGAATCTTAGTTTTATTTTTTTTATCAAATAATTAAGATGGTGAACATATCCAATACACCTTCTTATACACATACCAACTTTACATTACCAACACTTATTTGTGGCTTAGAAAGAAGATCTGAAATTGTTCTTTGGAAATTGCATTTGGGAACTATACTAACAACATTTCTAAAAACTGTCAGTTATATTTGTGACCTAACACTTCCAGTTATATTTGTGATCTTTACAATGAATAGAAATACCTGCTTCTTGAATTCAGTGTCACTTGGGGAGATTCTAATCATTTTTCTTTTTATTGATTCAAGAAAATTAAATTGAAGAGGAGGAGGAGGAGGAGGAGGAGGAGGAGGAGGAGGAGAAGGAGAAGGAGAAGGAGAAGGAGAAGGAGAAGAAGAAGAAGAAGAAGAAGAAGAAGAAGAAGAAGAAGAAGAAGAAGAAGAAGAAGAAGAAGAAGAAGAAGAAGAAGAAGAAGAAGAAGAAGAAGAAGAAGACTGATTTTATCCACCTAAGCTCATAAACTTCATTCCTCATGAGGAATATCAACACAACTGTCTTATAACAAATTGTCAAATCATATTTGTTCTTCTGATAATCTGAATCCTAAATCAATTGTCTTTAGTAATATTATATTTGCAAACTAGAGATTTCCAAGCAATTATAGCAAATATGAAGTTTCCAAATGTTGCATAGATTGTTATATGTTCCTCTAATCTTCTCTGTATAACAGCTGTTTATGCTGATGATCTTGAGAAGCTTTGACTAATATAAGATTGATAAGGCAACTACATCTTATATATAGCAGCTTAAGTCTGATGTGTATTCTATAGCTGAAGAAACAAATACATCAATTATCTCAAATAACATGTTTTCAGGAAGGAATTGTACAATGGCCAATAGATGGCAGTAAAGCTATAAATTAGATACCAAGCAAGGAAGAGAATGTTGCCCAGTTAATCAGAACCTACTTTGAACAGGAGACATGATTTTGATTATTTCCTAATTAGATGGATAGGAAATGGCCTATCACTGGCTCTCTCTTGGTTAGCATTCAGAAATACAGCTAAGGTAATGCATTGAAAATAACTTTTGCTGGGCTATTATTATCTTTGGAATGTTTATTTTTACTTCTATTTTTATTGTTAATTTTACATCTGGTTTAGGTTTGTTTGCTTTAATTTTTTAGCTGTTCTGACGGACTGCTGTTTTTATTGCTCTTGCTTTATTTTATTGGCTGCTTTGACTTTTTCTGTGAGTTACACAGAATATTGGGATGGAGTTAACAATAAATATTTTATCAAATAGAATAAACTTCAATTCTTCCCATCCCCCACCTCTATCAGACTTGTTGAACAGGTCACAAGAATTACCAGTGAAATTGGAATGCATGGTGCCTAACAGCTGAGCTCATGTTTACCTCCCTACGGTTCAGAAAATCTGTTTTCCATTTTGTAAATGGAAACTCTTAAGAGAAATTTAGGCTATATAAAAAACAATATTGCTACAATATCAATAGCCAGTATCCCTGCACTGGCCAGGAAAATTCACCAAAAAGTAAGAGAGATGAAATCGTGAATTGGGCTTCCACAATCTTTCAGTTTTCAAGTGTTTTGTTTCTGTTTGTAGTAGTTGGGAGTGTGTATCTTGTGTGTGTACATAAGCATGTATATGTGTGTGTGTGTGTGTGTGTGTGTGTGTGTGTGTGTGTACACACACACACATATACCTGGATACAGGTTTAGATCACTTGATGCTAATTTATAATACTTAGTGCATGTAAACATATTATTAGGGTCAATTATTAAAGATTTATAAATAAGATTAATAAGAAAATTACATTTTACTTAGCTGGGTAATATGTTGGTAATAAGCAAGGTTGAGCCTGGTTAATGCTTGGAGGTGGCCACCAGGGGGTTCCAGGTCTGTATTCTATTCTAGGAAGCCAAAGAAGAAATCAGAAGACAGCAATGGCAAGCCACTTCCATTCTGCTGCCATAAAAACTACATAAATAGGTTTATAACAGCACTAGAAGTTGGGTGCAACTCAGAAATCTTAATTTTTAAACTAAATAATAGATTTATGTATGTATGTATGTATGTATGTATGTATGTATGTATGTATGTATGTATGTATGTATGTATTTGTTTGTTTGGAGTGCTTTTATAACTTTGCTCATTCTTATACTTACTGTCAGCATGTTAGCTGACAAATAAAAGAAGCTAATCACATTAACTTTCTTTTGCCTCTGTGGTAGAGCAAGAATTAAAAATTGGCATATACAAATTATGCTAGATATGGAAAGAAAAATGGCTTTACTACAATTTCATACCCTTTTAGATCATGGAGCACACACATATAGAAAGTTCCTAGATTTAAAATGATAACATATTCCTGACATCAAGATTCTAGTAATTAGCATCTTTCAGGGAAGAAATGGCAGACTGACGGTGGTTCTGTGAAAAGTGGAGCTGACAAATGCAGTGGAATGTATGGCCGGCAAGTACACCAACTCTTCGATAATTCTTTTCCAGACATGGAGAGGATTCAAGATTATCAACAAGTGCTCCAGATGGCTACTCCTCAAAAGGAGATAGAAATCTCCAGCTGGTTAGAGGAAATGACCATCTTGCTCAAAACATATTAATGCCTTTGAAAGAATAGTAAGTTAGCATACTTCCTTCCTAATTATTTTTGGAAATTGCTCGGCTAACTGTTCTACAGCTGTACAAGTCATTGTATTGAAAGTTTTATAGCTCCAGTTGACAGTTTAACAAATTTAAGAACTTATTTTTTTGTCAAATCAAAAGGTTGATTAAAACTTTGATTTTGGAAAGTTATAAACAACTAATGGTCCAAATAAATTTGAAATAAGATTTTGGAATTAATTACAAAGAATCCTTCCCATGGAAAAATGCTTTTGTTTTTGAGGTGTCTTAAATTAAGTTTTCAATAGTTTTGTGAGAAGAAACAAAAAAAGAAAAAGAAATCAAGTTCAAGATTGATATTTGAAGGGATTAAAGACTAAGAATGTTAGAAGTAAAAGGAAGGGATATAACATTAGCTTATTTGATTAAGGTGCTAACATCAAAACTGTTTGATTATTTATAGATAGGATATGGGAAGATCATTTGTTATTATTTAAGAGAAGGTGACAACTTACTAAATTATTTATGCTTGTGATGTAGGTAGAAAGTTACCTTCTTTCTTTTCTTTTACTGTACAGTATTTATTTTATTTTTCCATTTTTTTTCTATTCTGCATCTTTTATTCTTTCTTTTTATAATTTTATTTCTTTAGTTTGTATTAGTTTTTACTGATATAATTGTAATCTTTAATAAAATTACTATATAAAAAGATTTTAATAATTAGCAATTGCTGGAGCTAAGCACCAAATTTTTTTCTTTCTCAAATGTGATTACAAAAGAAAAAGAAACTACATGTATTCACTGTCTAGAGAATTGCTTTGATAGGTGAATTCTCAAAAGGTTGTATCAATCAAGTTTGCAATAATTTCTAACTGTAAGGAAGAGAAGAGCAATTCTAGAAAAGCCCTAGAGGCATAAAGCTGGTTGAAAAGCTGGCCACAACTGCCATTATAAGAAAGGATTATCAGAGAATATCTATTTCATTTTTCCAGAGAATGGATGAGTAGACAATGTCTACACAAAATGAATGATATTTCAACTAGTGGTGTTAAATTAATGTCAGTGGTTATTAGAATTGAATGAATAATTTGTAATGTACTGAATACATTATAGCTTGACCATTTCATGGAATATTATAAGCCAGTCGCTTTTTCCATTTTATTTATTATTTGCAAAAGTCTAAGAAGCCTTTTGCAAATCTGACTACCTTATATCCTTTAAAAGTTTGATTACTTGCTCATTTGAATGTTTATTTAAGTTAGATGTGGTTTTCTTATTGAGTGAAAACAGCCCTTCCAAATTTGGTATTGAAGGAAATATTGTAAATGGAAGAGAAAAATGTCTGCATATGTGAATCTACATGCTGACTTGTTTTCATGATGTTTTCTACTTCAGCCCACAAATATATGCCAATTAAAGCAAGCGAAAGCAATGTATCTAAAAGAAATACCAGACATAAATCCTGATTATCCAATCTATAGTTATTAGTTTTCTTATAACGTTGCCCAATTGACAGTCAAATATTCTGATTACATTTAATCAACCAAAAGAATCTTAAAATAGTGAAATAAGTCACAGAGTGTAATTAGAGAAGCTTCAAACTTTTGAAAAAGCAACTAAATGCATTTTACAAAGATAAATTTACAGAAGTATATTCAGCATATACTGATGGGTACCTAATAAAATTCAGTCAATTGAATAAATATCTGCACTACAGCCAAACTTCCTTGATGATAGAAATACTAATAACATCCTTTTTTTCCTTGAGCAAACATAATATTTAGATATCTTGTTTTCAACTAGGTGAATCCATCCATTTACTTATATTTAGCAAATAATCTTAACAACATGCTCTTTAATGCCCTTTGGTGAGTCTAAATTTCTAGTAGGCTGGATTAGACTGTTAATATTTAAATTTTGGTTAGCATTAAAACAATATCTATACATTCATGGCTGTTATAGAAAAGGGAGATTCCAAAGTAACTCACCTTAGCAAAACATTTCTAGGGACCCCTTTTTTACTTTTTGTGCTTAGCTTTTCAAACTTTCCAAACATGCAAGACTGCAAATTTTCATGAGAAAAACACACCCATACCCTAACTAAAATTATAATATAATTAATAATAAAGTTATATTTTATTAATGCACTAATAAAAACAAGCTTGCAGTCATGCTTAATTAATTAAATGGCGCAGAGATGACATGTGAAGTGAAATAAAAGTAACAAAGCACTATGCCAACTTTCCTAGCAATTGAATAAACTAGATAAATAGAAAAATATATTTCCTGATTAAAGTGTCTAACAATTCTTTATTCATCTCGAGCTTACCTTACATTGGCAAGATGGGCAGTTGTTAGATTAACCAGAGCTGTAGCAGCAGCTTCTTTTACCTCTTCATTTTCGCTGCTTAGCAACTGAATGAGCTGGGGAATTCCTAAGAGAGGAAAAATGTATAGAGGCAGTTTTAAATTAATTATGGAAACATTGTAAATTGGTGAATATTTTCTTCTGGTCATAATTTCATTGTCACAATAACTATTTACCTAGAGCTCCAATGGTTTGTTTACTAGCTAAATTCTCACACATAGCAGAGATGGCTTGAGAAGCAGCTATTTTTGTTCCTTCATTATCCGTTCCCAAAAGAGTGACAAGACATTTTTCAACTTCTTGTTCATTCAGGATTTTTCTGTTTTCAGCTGTTTACAAAGAAGAACAACAAGTCATGATAGGTACCAACCTTCAGTTAAATAAGATTGTACTTTTGTAGAAAATATTCATTTCTGTGCAGATATCGTTGCCAGCAAATATTAACATTACTATATTAATGTAGATTGAAGTATCACCTTTAAACAGCTTCAAACATGGTGAAGTCTGCAGAAATAATCTTACCAAAGATATATTTCTAATCAGGAGCTTTAAGTAAGTGGGTTTGTAATATTAAATATTATGTCCACTTTAAACAAAACATGTATCTGTACCTCTCAGATCTATTCTCACTAGGTTACAATGCTTCCACTCAATTAGTGCTAACAGGAGCCATGTGTATGGAAATTAAAAGGTCATTCTTACAGTAGAGATACTGTGTATTTGACAGTTGCAGAGCTAATCAAATTAATGCACAGACTAGACACAATGGAAGAGTGGTTAAAAAGTGTTTTATTCCTCTTTCTCAAATCTCTTTATTCTCCATGCAAGTCCAGACTAACAGAAATAAATAAAAAGATTGTTAATATGTTCAATTCCATCATCTGATGATAAGCATTTATGTGAATATAGTATACTTTAACATTACTATACTGGTACATTTTTCTTGATATGTTTAATGAAGTCAAATTCAATTCTGTACTCATTCAGGATCAGAACGAGTGGGTTTGCCACCCACAATTCTTTCTAATGTGATGAATAAATTGCAAAGATTGCCTGCTCCCTATCCATCCCATGTCATACACTATTAGAATGTGGATAATTCAGTGCTACTGTTAAGGGTACATATCCTAGCTAATGCCTAGAAAGGCATTATTGCTTTTAGCTTAGTTTGTGAAGAACAGTAAACATAACCTAAAAAATATTCTAGAATGCAAGATATTATGAGAAATGCAGATATTTCTATATCAGTGCTGCTTCATTTAATTTAATTTAAGCATACAAATATCCTGAAGCACATCTACTTTTCTTCTGAGACGTGACTGAAAATTAAAGTTTAGCTTTAACATTTTAAATAAAAAATGTAAATATTATATATTATTAATTTTATTAATTCCAATTCATTGCTATATCAAAATATAAAACCATAATTGCTAAATTAAATTATTAATTATTGCATTTAATATATTTAAACTATAGGAAGGATACTTTTTGGGCAAAATAATTTATTCAATTGATTTTGATAGCATTATTCCATTTTCAAGATATAGTAAGGACAAGTAGCTCTTAAAATCTTTTCATCATGACCGAAATGTTATATTGGTGAAAAAGACACAAAATAGGCCATTATTGGTGGCAAGTATACTTTGGGGTCTTTTAAATTATTGATGCATTGTTTTAATTTATAGTTCAATTGAATTCTCAGGACATCTCAATGGTTTTGTCCTCATTTGTTCCTTTATTAATTAACCTTTGATGGCATATCTCAAATTTCTCTGTCTTTCCCCTGGGCAGTCTTTAATGGATGCTTGCGGGGACACACTTAACTCGACAGTTTGGCAATATGAACCAATACATTAATTCTAGAACTGGAAAAAAATGGCTTTCTTAAAAGAAAATTTATCTTTAGTTTAAAATATTTATTTCGTACATTATAATAAATCAATATATTTTTAATTAGATGCCTATCTACTTCATCTGCTCAGATAATTTTACCTTCTATGCAACTTAATAGAGAATTTTACTGGGTGTTTGTTTTACATAAGACTACTGACAAAAGAAAGCAGAAATAAGGTTTGCCACAGCAGCCATATTTAACAGCAAGTACTCTAGAGAGGGCATTAATTGGGATTACAGATTGGCTTGACTCATAATAGACTTTGCCTCTGGCTTGATGCTTGCCAAACTTGTGTGTAATCCCTGGAAGTGGTCTCTAGAGGGTTCTCCATTCTTCAATCATTTGATTTTGATACAGCAAGTTATACTACATGTTTCTTGGTATCTGGAACAAAAGTACATATTACATTCTCATTTTTCTTGTACAGAACAGTCATGATAAAAAGATATTTGAAATATTCATTGCTTTGATTCTAAAATGTGAACAAAAGGAAATAAGGTTAACTTTTTCCAAGCTTAATAAAATAACTAATAGGATTAAAAGAAAATTAACACCACAGAAAAACTAAGATTTTTAGTGATGTTAAGATGATAGCACATTGTTTCCAAGGAATGAGACTGAAATTCCCCCAAATATTACATCCAGTTGAATATAGAATGGACTGAATATTAGTAAAACTTGGCTGGATACCACTTCATAAAAGTAATACTAATACTAATACTAATACTAATACTAACAATTGCTATAGTATGATAGTATTATCTGGAAGTAAGCTACATGGATTTCAATTGTACTTATTTTCAAATAAGCTTCCTTAGGATTGCAACATAAAATTTTCCTATGAGCAGAAAGGTGGGGCATGAATGATGATGATGAATGGTCACTTCCACAGCTAGTCTATACATTTAATTATAATAATCTTTTAATGGCTTACTATTCAGTCAAATTTGTCAGTGGGAAGATAGAACACCAATACTATAAAGGTATTTGCAACACTACAGCCTCACATCAAAGCAAACAAGTAAATATGGTTAAAAACAATTCTATGTGTATTAAAACTAAAACCAAAAGGCATTTTTTAAAATCAGACTCATTCACTCAATCTGTCTCCCTCCCTCCAATTTTATAAAAATAGTACATGGTCTCAGACAGACAGTATAACTGAAAGCCTAGTGAAATACTGTTTGATCATGTTTCTTAATCAACATTCATCAAATTAAAAGAATTATAGTCAGGATGGCTTTCCTTGGAAAATACGCTGGCAAAAGAGCATTAAAGTCTTGAACTTTCTGTTGGGCTTAGCCATTTTATATATAGCAAAAATATAGAAACTGAAAACTGGACAGCCATTTGTCTGAAATGGTGTAGGGTTCCTGCCTGAGCAGGGGGTTGGACTCGATGACCTCCAAGGTCCCTTCCAACTTTATTATTATTATTATTATTATTATTATTATTATTATTATTATTATTATTATTATTATTATTATTATTATTATTATTATTATTATTATTATTTCATTTATTATATAGTAAGTTCTGGGAATATTTTTCAAAAAATACTTTATGTAATTAGCTTCTTTATTCCCCAATTTTGTGATTAAAAACTAAAACTAAAATATTTATTAGCTTGAAGATCTATGTGGATAGTGATATTTCCCAGAAATAAAGTAGTAGAATAAAATAATAATAATAAACATATATTGGTCCATTAATATCGGCTTTAACTAGACTATGATTAGTTCTTAAAAATAAATTTACAATTCAACTTGGCTACCCAACAGAGGAGGCAGCAGAGAAAAAGAAATAAAATACAGAGGACAAAAAGGTTTCCTGCATTAGAAATTGTGTACAACAAATATACATAAATTAAAATAAGAATGTGAGATGTGCTAGAAATAACTAATAACCAAGAGATGGTTAAAATAAGAACTGTCTAAGTCTGTCACAGCTTATGTCATAAGAATCCCTTGAGGGACTAAGAATCTTATTACAGACAATAAGAAGTACATTATTCTCTATATTATTACATTTTGCTATATGGCACTGCTGTGCTTCAACTGCAGCTTGACAAATCACAATATAGATGCCACTCTGAGACATATTTAAACAGCATTGTCATGCTGAGTGCAAGATACTTCCATCCAGTCTGCATGCTTCAGAATTCCATGGTGAATTCGGGAGCAGTGAACTGGTCATATAAATAAAGAATTACAAAATAGATCATTACAAAAGGATAAAATGAAGAGGTTAATTCCCTGGGGACATTAATTTATAAGATATTTTGAGGCAAGTCATATTTTAGAAAGAAAATGTCTGGGTCTTAATTTATTCAGATTAGATAATGATAATAAAAATCAGTCTTGTGAAGGAAAAATATTTTTAAGAGAAAATTCAGAAACAAATTCTGTATCTTGGGATAAGTTATTTAGTTCAATAACAAACTATTTATTTGTGAGAACTTTTTTTACCCACATGTCCTCTTTACAAACAAATGAATGTACATTCTGAAAAATAAGTGGATGTTACAGTATTTTACATGAACTGTCTGAATGCCTTGTGTTTGTGCACAGACAAGTACAGAGGGATAGACGATTTACAAGAAAACTCAGTGGCTTGATTTAAGATATATTCAAGATGGGCCATATCATTCTAACTTTGTCCATTCTGAAGTAAGCCCATTATGTGAATATCTGTAAAAAAGCAGAGGGGGAAAAGGAGAAGGACGGGGAAGATCATTGTGTGGAGTGTTTCTCCATGCTTTTTATATCAACCTGTCTATTTACATATATTTTATCTAAATGCAGGGCATATATAACATTTGACATGGTTGCTCTTTGGTTTACTCCATAATATTCAAATATAAAAGCTACTTAATTAACTTGCTTCCAAGAAATAAAGACATTGGATCTTTAACAGAAGAGAGTGCCCACCTTACTATTAGCAAGACAACTGGTTTCGTGCCTTATGAACTTTGAAAGAATCTTCCTTAGCAGGTACCAGAATAACTGATCCAGCATTTCTTCCTGACTTACAGAATGATAATTTCAGGCAATAAAGTTTTCTTGTGCTAAAGTGGGATGACAGAATATGCTTGCAGTCTTATCAAAATGTATATCACTGCATTGTAAAGCTAATAAGATGTAGGATATGGCATCACTGACTCTTATTTTAGGAGACTTCAGTCAAACTCTTAAGATTTAATAATGGCATCTAATCATAAAAAGGAACCACTAACTGGACATTCATATACTTTACAGGCTTTTCTCAAGTCACAGGAATTTCAGTAATGACATACGATCAGCGGCTGCTTTAGCAATAGCTTTTGCGGCATTCTTCTGAAAATCAGTTAGAGTGGAAACTTCAGTAAAGGCCAGTAGCTTTCTGAGACCCCCTGTCTCCTGGATCAGTTGCATAGTATCCACATCCTCAAGACAATTTGCCACAACTCCAAGAGCTTCTACATGTAGGTCATTAAATTCCTTTAAGTTAAAAAGATGCAGATATTAAATCAATATTATACAATGGTTTAAAATTATGATTTTACTGTTTTCTGACCACATATTATGGTATACCATATTCCCATAATGCAGTTATCATTATTTACGTATATAAAAACACTGGTCTGGTAAACTAAATTGCCATGACAGGATACCTTAATTGCAGCAAAACATTTGGCAAGTTCTCCCAAAATTTGAAAAGTGTTCAGAAGCTACAGCTGATGCAGTGTGTGGTGGCACAGGCAGTTCTTAGGGCCCCTTGATTGGTCCATGCTACACCATTGCAAGTTGCGTTGATTGTTGATCTGCTTCCGCGTGCAATTGAAGATGGTGTTCATCACTCTTAAAGTCCTGCATGGCATGGGTCCAATCTACTTGAGGAACTATTTTACCTGGATGAGACTGGCCCACCCACCTGCACTGGCAGAGAGGACATACTGAGGATCAGCCAAGGAATTTTGAATGCATTTTGAATGACATCTAGTGGTGGATTTGAGTACAGCACTATAACTAGCTTCCTAACTGCTTGGTGATTCCTAGCTTAAGGGAGAACAGCTGGCAATAAAGGAAAATATTTTGGCATCCTTATCACCTGACCCTCTTGGACTATAAACACCTACAGAGCTTGGACTTTTAATCTCAAGAGCTAGTGGGAGAGAAAGAAAAAATTGACTTTTGACTACATCTGGTGGGAGAGACTTTTGAGCTGTTTTCAGGGAGGTTGAACATTTTGAACTCTTTGAACATTGTGGATTACAACCTTTCCTGACTGACAATTTTTGGATACCTGAGACAAAGGATCACTATAAAATATTGCTTGTAGGACTGGACCTATGTTTTGGAACCTATTGGATTATACAGGCTACATATAAAGACCAGAAAACTAGAGAAAACTTTGTTCTACTCTTACTGAGACTGGTGATACTAGAGGATCTCCAGGAATAATGCCTCAAGAAAAAACAAATACCTTTCAGAAGGAAATATACTCTATGCTGCAACTAATTCATCAAACAATTGTTGCACACAAAGTGGACATAAAAGAAACCATAATGAGACTATAAATAATTTAGATAATATAAATGAGCAAATCTCCAAATTAAATCTACAACTAGAAAGTATGAACAAACCAGAAATCAGAAGGTAAAGCAGAGGAAATGGACCTAGAGATGGAAGAGATAAAAGAAGGGAAATATAAACTACCATATATAAATAAAATACTGCAAGACTTACCCATAACAATGAAAATGCAAAAGACCCTTTACCTCTTAGGTATGCAAAATACACCTGATGACAAGGAAGGTTTTTTAAAATGGAATATAGAGCTGTCAGGGGAAATGTTACAATTTGGGAGACAAAAAATGAAAAGAGAAAGTGAGGGAGAAGGAAAGTGGGAGTTGCTTAAGGAATATAAATGGGTGGAATTCCCCCCCAAAAATACCCTACCTAAATTGTCTTCCTCATGACAAGCAACTTTCACAAAAATAGAAAGAAAATTTCTGGGCGATTTAATTGCCTTGGCTTGGAAAGCTACTTGGCAAAAAAAGAAAGCGAGATTTAGATTTAAAAAACAGAAGATATTAGTAAAATATCATGAAGATGTTTATATCTAATTTTGTATACATCAATAGTACCAAGAATTGTAACTGTGTAATGAGGGGAAAATGGAAAAAAATATGGGGAACAAAGGAGGATCAGGGAAAAAATACTGGATTGTGCAGTACTGAATAGATTTATATTGAAGAAGTTAATGTTAAATATGTGAACCCAGACAACATGTTGTTTACTAAGCACTAAAGACTGTAATTCTTAAAAATCAATAAAACATTAAACTACAAAGAAAGCTGGATTAAAACAATAGAGGAACTGGACTTGAGCACAAGTAGCCACAAAGCATGGAGACTGTTGACCACCTGAATAATAATCCAACTTGCCCTCGAGATCATGCCAATGTGACTGCAGACCAAATAATCAGTCATCTTCTTAAGAATGGCAACCCAGATCAAAGGCCATCAAAACACAAGATTAAGAAATAGAAATAAGGAAGATGAAACGACCAACTTGTCATCTCCCTTTATTATAGAAGTACCGAGAGAAACTATAAGGAAGGGAAGGCCACGGAAAGCTGCTGATTTAGATGACATCCTTATTGAACAGGTAAAGCAATATGGACTGAAAGCAAGACAGTTGCTACTATAAATGTTTAATGAATGCTTGGAACAATGTAAGATTCTAGTATCTGGTGAAAGGCTAAGGTTATAGCCGTTTTAAAGGCCAATAATCCTAAGAACTACCATCCAATTTCTCTCTTGTGCTATATCTATAAAATCTTTGAAAGAATTATACAAAATAACTTCACTATAACTGTAGAACCCCTTTTCATTCCACAGCAGGCTGTATTTAAGAGACTGAAGCAGAAAGTTTATGATATGACTAAAGATTTTAAATTTACAAATATCATCAGAAATTTGTTTCAGAACCATATGTTTTTTTGTGAAGTTCCAAGGAAGATGAAGTAGAAGGAGGAACCAAAGGAATGGTTTATAACAGGGTAGTATATTGGCTTCAACTTTTTTTAATCTTTACACCAATGATCAGCTGCTCCCTGAAGATACTAACAATTATATGTATGCTGACGATCCAGCAATGGCTATACAGGGAAAAACATTTGAGGAGGTTGAAAAATGTTTAATTGAAGCCCTAATAGTGGTGGATTGATACTGTTGTAATAACCAGTAAAGCTCAAATCTAGCAAAAAGACAGGTATGTGCCTTTTATCTTCACAATAAGCAGGCTGCTAAGAGCTGCATGTTATATGGAAGGGGACATTATTGGAGCTTTGACACAGCCCTAAATATTTAGGAGCCACTCTAGACATACCTAATATTTAAACAGCACTGTACCAACACTAAATTGAAGGTTAGTGGATGAAATAACATCCTCAATAAATTAATGAGCTCTATTCTGATCTGCCAGACCAAGGGCCCTTCAGACAACAGATCCTACTCTTTACTACTCAGCAGGTGAATATGCCTACCCATTCTGGTATAAATCAATACATGCTGGAAAAGTTGATGTTGCTCTGAATGAAGCTAACAGAATTATTACTGGATGCTTTAAACCTACCCTTCTAGATAAGATCTACCACCTAGCCGCCATTGCCCCGCCTGCTGTTTGCAGAGAAGCAGCAGCATACAGAGAGAGGTTTAAATCGTCTACCTCTAGATCACATCCTCTCTATGGCCTACAACCTGCTCAGCAGAGACTAAAATCCAAGAAAAGCTTCCTTAGGTTGACCGAAGACTTTGAAGAATTTGAAAGCAGATTGGATCTATGGAAAGCTACAAAGAACCAACACTGGATGTAACCAATGGAGGATCTGGCACTTGGGTCTGACAAAAGCTGGGAAGTATGGAAATCATTGAATAGACTGCACATGGGTACAAGATCCAGAGACACTCTGAACAAATGGAGCTATCCGGTTGCTACTGCTCTTTGCAATAGTGGTGACATGCAGACAACAACACATATGTATACCTGCTCTTTGTGCCCCAATCAGTGTATACTTGAGGACCTCATGGCAGCACGACAGAACACAATTAATGTTACTAGTTTCTGGGCAAGATTTGTGCATATTTTAATCTTGTATTTTATACTTTAAATGTTATGTTATATAGTATGCCTTATATAGTATGCCTTATTTTAATTGTGATAATTCTGATATGAATAAACAAATATCCGCACATAACATTAGGCCACATCATGGTTTGCCAATAAAATTCCTGTATAATTCTAATGAATCACATATACTCATAAATAAATTATATGGTGATTTTGTATAATATATAAATTAATCAAATAAAATTTTATAAAATATTAAGCTAAATGATCCTCACATTGAGAAGATATCCCAAATGTATGGATCTAATATTGATGTCTGCAAATACTGTTCATTCTAGAATCCTCTCTAGCCTGATGAAACCAAGAGAATATTATTCCATATAATTAGAAAGCATTCACTTTATCTCAAGAAAATCTGATTACCTGTATTCCATTCAATTTATAATTAGTTTAGTTGACAATATTACTTTAATCAATTAAAGAAATAAAATATCTTCTCAAACTCAAAAGTCTTCTTAATTAACCAAGAAAAACCCCAAACTGCCCTTTTAACAAAAGTATTGTCATTAAAGACATAGTTCCTTATGTGTACAAGAACGATTTTTCTAACTTTCATATTAACTACTGCATTTTTTTCACATGCAATTTCTTCAGGTTGAATTGATTAACTAACCAAAATTCATATCTATGATGTTTTAAAGGATACCTTAGTTTCCAGTATCTTGAAAAGATGATCTAATCCTTGATTTTCTCTTAGCATCACTCTTGTTTCTCTGTCAATGGTAATGACACCTAAAGTTTTGAGTGCTAACAACTGAATAACTGGGTAGTCAGACTTCAGAAGTTCCAACAAAGGAGGAATTACATTTAATTCGCGTATTGCAGCACGACTCTGAAAATCCTATATGTAAATATCAAATAAAAATGTGATTGGAGAAGAACAATATAAAGCACAGTACAATTATGACTGTTAAAAATGAATAAGCTAGCTCAAATACAGTTTAAAAATATTTCTTCAATATTTCAAATATTGAGTTCCATCTGTCATAAATTATATATTAAACAGAGCAAAACTCAGAACATTTTTAGCTTACAAATAATTTATACATGATAAACTTTACCAGAGAAAATTTCTAGTATATTGATACAAGAGGAATAAAAGAAATGCAGTTTGATCATTTCATATTTCTATACATCTTCATATCTCTACTTTCTTGCCTTGTTAAATATTTAAACTTTTTTCTGACTGCAACATTAAAATAGTAAAAGTTACTAGTTTTAAGTTTAAAAAAGACATTTTTTTTCTGTGCAGTTTTCTATACAATTTCATTTATCAGTTTAAACAAGCACCAGGTGCAGTTGTCCTGATATACCTAACAATAAGGATAGGTAGCCAAATAATGGAAACAGCAAAATGTGATTCAGAATAAAGACATGCTCTGGTGCCCTAGAAAAGATTGAACTGTGAATTGAATTCATTACAGACTTGATTCACTTATAACTTGGTCCACAACCCTGTTCAATTGGAGCACTTGGATTTAAGCCAATTTGGTACCATTTAAATCAGGAGAGTTAAAGTAACTTAAGTCCCACTGTTTCAGCTTCACTGGATTGCAGATTGAGCTATTAGACTTTGAAAAGAGCTCTCCTACCAATTTACTATTCTTTTGCTAACCAGCCTATGGTGACATTAACACTGATTGTGAAAGTAACCAATTACAATAACCTTCCCCCCTTCTGAAAAGAAGCTGTCAAAATCATTTACTAAGAGTTTAAAAGGTGCAAAATCATTATGTGTTAGGCAAGAATAATGCAAAAATAATACTTCTTATTCCAAACCCTCAAAAATGGACATTTTATAGCCTTTCATAGAACTTAAACATTTTTCCAGATGATGAAGAGAATAGATTGTATGCATTCTTCTACTGAAAATTATTTCCTTTATAGACATTTAAATGGATCATGCTCTGACCTATGCTACACACATTTAATTAACAAATTTAATCAGAATCAATGAGACTTGCCATTTAGTAAATCACCCTAATTCATTCAAGAGACATCTGACATCCAGCCCTTGCTATTTGAAAGCAGTAAAACTTTTGTGAGCAGATTCAGATCTGTGGGCATAGCGATAGCATTAATCATATTTTTACCAAGGATGGAAAACAGAAACCTGAATGTTTCTCCATGTTTCTTATAAGCTCTCTTATTTTCCTCCTAACTAATTTACAATCAACAGTCTTATGGATTAAAATAATGACATCAGTTGTGTTAAGTAGAAGGGGGAATTCATCAAGCAAACCAGCCCATGCCAGTTTGAGGAGATATGAGGAGGAGGATATGTTTGAAAATGAGATGGCAGGAAAAGTTGGGTAAATAAAATGCAGATCAAACAAATCAACATCAATATCAGATTCATTTATAGAAGAAGACATTATTTTCTAATGAAAAATGAAGGCAAAACATCACCTGCACTAGATTATAGATGCATTCCACACAATTCTTCTTAACATCAGGATCAGGACTTCCTAGCAGTCGGATAAGAGGCTCTAGTCCACCTTGCTCAAATATTTGTACTTTACTATTATAATCAACTGACATATGTACGAGACAAAGGCTAGCGAACTCATGGATGACAACCTCTTCTACAAAATATTTAAAATTGACTGTGATCAAACATTATCCAGTAACAAATATGCACATTTTATAAGCAAAGTGTCGATAACTCAATTAAAACCAAATTGTAATTATTTTCAAGATTTTAAAAATAAATGGGAACATATATTTATTTAAAATTATCCAAAAGATTACAGTCCTACAAAAATATGCCAAATGGGAATGGAAAGGTTCTGTTTTCATTTTTGTATTTTTATGCTCATTGTTTTTATAGAGTCTTATACCATGTATGTTATGTTGATTTTATATTTTAGGTAAGCTGCTGACAGTCTTTCAACGCAGGGATAGAAATTGAGAAACAAACTAAAAAATAACTTAAAAAGTAAAGCCATGACCATGAATATGTGGAAATGGCTTGGGAGACAGGAGCAAAGACAACTGTCATGCAAAAGGTATCTCAGTCCACAGAAGAAAAAGAGACATGGGAATCATCTCAAAAAAGATCATCCCTAATTTTCTGGAAATTAAAAGTAAAGAAGGGGAGAAGTACTTTCACATTTGCAAAGTTTTGTTATTGCAACCTTAAAATAAATGTAATGTTAGTACTCAGTAGACAACTTATTGGATCATTGTTTCAGAGATATTTATTTAAACAGAGAAATAGAATGGCCAAAGGCCAAGGCCAAAAAAAAAGGGAGTGGATGCAACCATGACACAGGACTGATCTACTTGATTTACTTGATCTACTTGTTCTCCAGAAGCGAGGAGGGTGGGCAGTCTACCCGGCTTTCAGAAGGCTAAGATAGAACTGGTCTACTGAAAATCTGGGCGGTGGCACAACAGTGTGGTAACACAGAAGTGACCACAGATTTGCTGCATTTCAATCCCACAGGAGTCATGGATCCCAGTTTTGGATACATTCTGTAAATTAGCCCATTTGAGGTATCTTGATTCAAAAATCATTGCTGTATGATGCACTGTTTTGCCCCATTAAAGGTTACAGACACAAGAATTTTAGTTGTATATACAGTAGATGGTTGGTGCTTCTTGACATGGTGCTTCTTGAAACACCATGTGATTAAAGCCCCACCTTTTTTAATGTGTGCTTTGGCATATAAGAGGGGCATCAATCATACAGCTGCAGCTGCTACTTTCACTTTTTTTTACTTCCCCAGCAAATAAGAGAAGCCAGGATTTACCAAAAAGATGCTGCAAGTTACCTTCTGGTGCCAGACGAGCTATAAATGCACTTGTGACATCAAGCTGCCGTAGTGATTTCTTCACATCATCTATAATGAATGACATAAAGCAATATATTCTGTTAATTGAAGGGATAAAATATGCTGTCATGACTAATAATGCAGATATAATACTATTGTTTAATCCTATAAAGGAGATGTATTAAAGGATTGGCCTGAAATAGACTACGTTTCACTTACAGTGGACAGGGAAAAATGTATTTCATGAAATCAATAAAACTAAAGAGCAAACAACTTCCAAAATGGAATTATGTATCTTTTGTTTGCCAAGCATCAGATATACAATAATAATCCATCAGGACAATTACTGATTTTGGCAAAATTACTAATGCCCCTTTAAACAGCAGTTTTTGAATGGCTTACGAATTTATTTTAAAGTAATGTAGTTTTTCTTCAGCAGATATCATCCTATTTATGACAGTACTCTTAATCTTATAGTGCTTTGGTTTCAGTAATAATTTCACAAGATATGAAATACTTGTTAAAAATTCAATATACTATATTGAAAATCCATATTTTTCATCAAATAATGCCAATATAACACTTTTTTGTAAGTTTTCACTATGTGTACACTTCCTTCTGTTCTCCTGGCTCTGCTACATATTTGTACATGGACATAAATATACCTCATGTAAAATCCAATGCTGGTAAATCTCAACTTGGGGGTCTTATTCTGCCAACTGAAGATCTACTCCTGATAAGCAAACACCTTTGTCTGATTACAATTTAGTGCCACTTATGTCCTGGCAGCTTGATTACTTTGCCAGCCTGTCAAATACTGCTGCTAGCTTTTTACAACATTAATAAATACGAGGAAATATGCAACTTATTACTTTCAATTTAAATTAAAGCTTGCACCAAATAAAGTTCAGTTTTCACCCTGCTTTCACCTACTTTCTCAACTTGGTTATGCCCACTTCTTCGAGTGAAGCTTCTAATAGGGCTCTTAAAGGCCAGTGTTGCTTAGGCTAAAGAAGTTGCATACTCAACTTACTTGACAGTAAACTCCTCAGGTCTTGTACATTTTTGTCTCTCTTCATAGAACTTTTTAAAAAAAATTCTGTTTCAGAACCAAGGTTATTATAATAGAACAGTTCAAACCCAATGGTGCTTTTTCAAGAGGCAACTGGACTTTATTGTTTTTCTTTGAAGATGTTTCACTTCTCATCCAAGAAGCTTCTTCAGCTCTGAGTGGAGGGTGAGAAATGAAAGGATTTATATTCCTTGCAGACAGCTGGTAATTTGTATTCTTTAGAGCAGTGGTCCTCAACCTTCCTAATGCCGCGACCCTTTAATACAGTTCCTCATGTTGTGGTGACCCCCAACCATAAAATTATTTTCGTTGCTACTTCATAACTGTAATTTTGCTACTGTTATGAATATCTGTTATGTAAATATCTGATATGCAGGGTGTATTTTCATTGTTACGAACTGAGCATAATTAAAGCATAGTGATTAATCACAAAAACAATATAGCAATGCTCGCTGGAGAAGCTTACTCTTCCTTGCTCAAAAATGTTGGGAGGGAGGGAAGGGGAAGGAAGGAAGGAAGATTGAAGGGGAAAGAAAGGAGATGGAGAAGGAAGGAGATTGAAGGGGAAAGGAAGAAAGATTGAAGGGGGAAGGAAGGAAGGAAGGAAGGAAGGAAGGAGAGAGAGATTGAAGGGAAAGGGATGGAGATGGAAGGAAGGAAGGAAGATTGAAGGGGAAAGGAAGGAGATGGAGAAGGAAGGAGATTGAGGGGGAAAGGAAGGAAGCAAGGAGAGATTGAAGGGGAAGGGAAGGAGATGGATGGAAGGAAGGAAGGAAGGAAGGATCTTTGGAGAGTCATGTTTTTCCAGATGGTGATGAACTGCAACTCCCAGCATTCCCCACTATTCCACAGTGCTTTTTAGGGCTGCTGGGGATGGTAGTCCAGTAAGGTCTGGAGACACACACAGATGCCCTCCGACGGGCGGCACAGGGGAGGCTCCGGCGCGGCGCGGAGGGCGGCCGGGGGCAGAGCGCGGCCGGGCAACCAGGAGGCGTGGGGATTGGCTCGGCGCCGCAGCTCAGCTCAGCCAGCAGCAGCAGCACGTTGCCCGAGCAGGGCGGGAAGAGAGGAGGTGGAGGTGGCAAGTCATGAAAGCAGCGTCCACACGTTCAGGGTGCAAATGCCTTGAACGGCTTGGCTCCCCCACCCCTTTATTTACTGATCTGCCACAAGCTCGTGCAAACAAGCCCCGAAGAGTTCTGAACGATCGGTCATTAAAAAAAAAAAAGCTTTCAGCAATGAGGCAGAAAGGGGAACTCACTCACGGCTCTTTTTTCCCCCTTTCTCGGCGACTGGGAAGGCAGCAGCCAGAGACGCCACTGCACAAAGGGAGGCGGAGAGAGGGGCGAGGGGGAAAACCTCACTCAACTTTCACCCTTATCAGACCCGGTTCCCTTCTGGTCGACACCCACCCACCCCCTTCACCTCCCGCTACAGATCGAAGGAAGGAAGGAAGGAAGGAAGGAAGGAAGGAAGGAAGGAAGGAGAGATTGAAGGGGAAGGGAAGGAGATGGATGGATGGATGGATGGATGGATGGATGGATGGATGGATGGATGGAAGGAAGGAAGGAAGGAAGGAAGGAAGGAAGGAAGGAAGGAAGGATCTTTGGAGAGTATTTTGCCAGGCTTTTTTTTTCACCTTGGCCCTGCGCTTCTCCCAGACGGAAGCCAGGCAAGAGGACCTGAAAAATGCCGAGCTACCTTGCCAGCGCCCGCCGCTGCCCCGCTAGCCTCACCTTGGCCACCGTCCGTTCGGTGCGGCAGCAGGCAGGCCCAGGCGCTCCTGGGTGGCCCTCCCACCCCTGGCCCTCTTTTACTTACATTTAGTAGTTGTTCAGCAGGGAGGGGTGGAAACTTCCAGGAAGCTCGCCTTAGCTGCAGACAACTTGCAGCAACGTTTGCTGACTGGGACTTTTGGCGGGCTCAGCAGGGCAGAGACAGCCTGGACAATTCCTATTGGCTTTTGAAAGCCAATAGAATTAGACTCTATTCAAGAGATTTTATTCTATTGGCGTTCGAAAACCAATAGAATATATTGGCTTTCGAACGCCAATAGAATAGACTCTCTTGAATAGAGTCTATTCTATTGGCTTTCAGAAGTCAATAGAATAAGAGGGAGTAGCACAACTCATGAAAAAGGGGAAAAAAACAAAAAAAAAATGCCGGACTGCGTTTCATAAGGATTCTATGAGGAAAAACTCCAGGACTTTGGCGACTCCTGTGAAATGGTCGTTCGACCCCAAAAGGGGTCGCGACCCACAGGTTGAGAACCGCTGCTTTAGAGAGTCACTTGGAGGTTTATCTGTGTCCTCAGAGTCACCTGGGTAGTGCAAATGGCTGTGGAGCCTTCTTGGAACTGCTGAAAGGACTGTATTTTAGACTGGAGATAGATGATATCATAGCCCTCCCCCTCTACTGAGAGAGGGCTATTCAATTTTGACACAGATGAAAACCCATAGATCTGTACATTGGCGAAACAAAACAACCACTTCATAAATGCATGGCACAACACAGGAGAACACACCCATCAGGACAAGATTCAGCAGTCCATTTGCATTTAAAAGACAAAAGACACTCTTTTGAAGATAGTAAAGTTCACATTTTGGACAGAGGACTGCTGGTTGGGAAGAGGTCAAAGAGGACATCTATGTCACAGTCCTTTAAGTAGTTCCAAGAAGGCTCCACACCCATTTGCACTACTCAGGTGACTCTGAGGACACAGATAAACCTCCAAGTGGTTTCAATGATTCTCTAAAAGAATGCAAATGACCAGCTGTCTGCAAGGAATATAAATCCTTCCATTTCCCACCATCCAGTCAGAGCTCAAGAAGCTTCTTGGATGAGAAGCGAAACATCTTCGAAGAAAAACAATGAAGACCAGTGGCCTCTTGAAAAAGCACCTTTGGGACAACCATGACCTCGATGACTGAGAAACTCCATAGACATTTAGCTAAGAACAGTTCAAAGTTCTTTGTTAAACTCAGTGAACTATTTTTAGTGTTGCTTAGCAGAAACACTAGACATACAACAATTTCATAGTTTACATCAGTTTAATATGTGTTCACAGTTTCACAATGCATAATACTGACCATGTTTCTAAAAGGAACACTTACTATGGGATGCCATGATTCCAACTACCATGGTAGCATTTCTGCGAACAGTGGGATCTTCATGTATAACTAATTTAAATAAAGGTTCTAATGCTCCAAGTTCAAGAAGTGTCAGCTTATTTTCTTCACCTAAAAAGCAATTGTTAATTACATTTAATTTCAAATATCCCTAATAATTATTATAATAACATAGTAAGCTTTCAATTTAACAGACCAATGGGGGGGAAAGTGTCCATAAAGAGAAAAAAATCTATTAAATCTGAATACATTTTACACAAGTCTTTTAGATATTTTATGTAAGTGTATAGAGGCATATGGGATTGTATACATGCACAGAATTACACTAGTATAGACAGTTTTTGTCAATGGTAACTCAGTTTGTCCAGTAAACTCCCTTAAAATGAAGATTTACTGTAACAATAGTAGTGACTGAAGAAGACAAAAATAACAATATCAAAGGATGAACTACCTTGAAACAGAAAAAATATTATATGTATCTGTCAAGGTCACATTTTTCTCTGCAATGGTTCAGCGGTAATCTAGCTAAGGCATGTAGATGATAATAATATGCATGAATAATAATAATTAATAATAAGCTGAAGAAACAGTGGCTCACCTAGTTAGTTGCTGCAAGAAGATTACACAGACTGATTACAAACATTAGCATGACAAAGTAGCAACAGTGGTGCATTGAAATATCTGCAAGAAATATCATTTGCCTGCAAGCAAAAACTAGTGGGACCACAAAATAGACAAAGTAATAGAAAATGAAGAAGCTAAAGTGCTCTGGGATTTTCAAATTCAAACAGAGTATCTGCCACATAACACTCCAGATTTAAAACTGTCAATAAAAAAGAGAAAATAGTCTGGAAAGTGGATGTTCAGTACCTAGAGACAGCAGAATAAAAAGATAATAGAGAAAGAACTGGAGAAAATAACAAAATATAAAATGCAAAGATCTGCAAAAATAAGTAGAGCAAAAGAAAGCAAAAATAATACCAATAATAATAGATGCCTTGGGTGCAAAGAAAAAATAATAATAACCAGTCAATTGCAAAAGGCACGTTTACAGTACCTGGAACAGCTTACACCATGTAATGTTATGTTTAACACCATTATACAACAGCATCTCCCTCTTCTAGGTTAATAGGTAGACAAAAATACCAAATCCAGTCTAAACATCTGGCTGGCTGCATGACAAACTATAATACGCTTTACTTGCAATAGCTTATATCTTGCAATGATAGCTTTAACACCATCAAACAACAATAGAGAGGGTCAATTTGGTTTAGCGATTAAGCTGCTAGGATAGAAATAGGGAAACAATGAGTTTTAATCCCACCTTAGGAAAGGAAGCTGGCTGGGTGACTTTGAGCCAGTCACTCTCTCTTAGCCCAATGTACCCCACAGGGTTCTTTTTGTGAGGAAATGAGGAAGGAGTATTAGATATATTCTAATTATATTCAACACTAGAAATGTGTTATTTATAAAAATAATATGGGATATAAACTAACAAACATTGGCCTATCCCAGATCCTTCAGAAGGATTCAATAAGTGAATAAAAATGCCAAATTCAGTCTAAACATCTGGCTGACCATGAGATCAACCATAATAATCTAATTCAATTTTCCTTGCTGTTCTTTATCTGGAAGAGATTGCTTATAAGTCAGAAGCTTCCATAACTTATAGTTCTGTATTACTCTATGTAACTCTATGTAATGTCTCACACAGTGTTGGCACTTAAATATTAAACAGAAATAGAAAAATTCATATAAAAATTTAGTACTCATTCATATACAAGTGGAACATGATAAAAGAAGAACAAACCTTTTAATGCAAATTTATACAGAGCTTCACATGCTTTATATAGCACTTCCTCTTCAGGGGAATTGAGCATCAGTACCACTGTTGCAGCTTTTTTGCTTTCAACTGACAAAGGATCAAACTAGAAAACCAACAGTAAGGGTATTAATATAACTCAGTGTTGTATAGTTCAGTGCCATAGGTATTTACTGATAAATATAAGGCAACCATTGAATATATCTTTTGAAATTACAGTATATAATAATATACTTACACATATATTATACTTATAAAAATATCTTAGAGGAAGGATTCAATTGTTTGTAACTTTAATGGCAATTTAATGGCTTACAAGAAGATTCCATTTTCCTTTCCCTTATACTCCGTGCAAGGAGATTTTGGAAATAGAAATCTGAAATGTGTGCTTGCAGAGGGCTATTGAAATTTGGTTGATGATCCCTATGGCCACAGATAGCCTACCTCTAAAACGTGGATGAATAGGAGATGAACAATAATTATACTGAAAAAGATGGATGGAATTCAAATTCCACTAATTCAGCATTTGGTTTAAAAATTCCAGCAAACTGCCTCTTTCCCTACTCATAGGAAATCTACTGAGCACATATAATAGAGTTTTTGAAATTGTAATGATATACATCAATCAGTAATTCTGAAAAAGAGATGGCAATGAAATGGTCTCTATGACATATTAATTCTAAGATTTTGAGATCAGTGAGTTTTTAAAAGAAGCAACATTTGTTGCTGATCTGGCTATAGGCAACAAACCTAGCAAGAAAGCACTTACAGATTTGATCAAACATCAAAAATTCAATTATAAAATATGATGTACATAGACAATTTAGACTGAAGTACATTATATTTTACTCAAGTAATTCTCTGCATCCTACATAAAAGGGTCAGAAAAGCTAAAGATAACAAGCATTGTACATGATTCAATGAAGAGCCCCTGCTCAGTGTACTAAAAACAGGTTACTAGGGATGCAAAAAGTCTGAAGAAGAAAGGAAGAGAAATAGTACAGAAAAAATGCAATTGTATTACAAAACCCTGCAGTGCACTTTCATGTGGAATCCATGGACCACATTGATCAGATCAACTCAAAAAGAACATTCCTATCAAGTGGGAAAAAGGATATCAAGCATGACAACTGAGATGATAGAAATTCTCAGAAGTTTTCGTTTGAAAACTCCTATTTGTACCTGTAATAATAGCCTCAAAGGCAACTTAAGAAATAATGGAATCAGATGGATAGGCTGAACAGGCTATACAATGTTCTTTTCTTTTTTTTAATGATATAAAGTTCAGATATGCTACATAAGTGAATCATAGTGTCATAGAGCTGAAGAGCTATTTAGGCCACCAGGTCCAGCCCCCTGTTCAGTGCAGAAATCCAAATTAAGCAACCCCAACAAATGGCTGTGGAGCTACCACTTAACTATATCTAGGAAAGGAAAGCTCACAATCTCCTTTGGTACTTGACTCTTTTGTTGAACCGCTCTTATATATAAATTATGAGAATACTGCAAAATTGGATTTTAAAAAATATAGAATACAGCTTATAGAAAATAGATAATTAAAATAAATTACAGAGTTAGTAGTAAGGTATTAACTTCTAAAATAGTTGAAAGCATTTATAATGTACAATTCCTTTTTCTTTGTAAGCTTTCTTTTGTAACGTTTTAGTCTTGTCAAATACTGAAGGGAGATTAAAAAAAAATCAACTATCCAAGTTTCCAATGCTTTATGTCAATCTAATTATTTGTATACAGAAAAGAACCTGCAACAGCCAATCCTTCTCTTCTCAGTCTATGTAGCTGACAAATATCTACCAGCCCACAATGAAACAGAATTCCATAATAGCATCGGTCATTTTTGCCAACAACAAGCAGCATGGTGGCCTAGTGATGAAGACTCGCCTCTGACTCGGAAGGTTGAGAGTTAAATCCTAGCTAGCGGCAGATGTTTCTCTTTTAGGATCCAAAGAAAAAATATCTGTTGCTAACTCCACATGGGATCAGGATGGCCTTCTGGCCAGTAAACACTCAGTTCCATCCAGTCCTACCCAAATTAAATGACTATAGAATCGTAAAAAGGAAAAACAAATCTCATTAACAACCTTTGCCAGAACCAAAATGAAAATATTTTCTGAGCCTAGAGATCAGACACACTGTTTTATACTAGTTCAATTCCTTCCTCAACAGCTGGTTCCACTCTGTGGTAACCGGGGAGGAGGAATTGACCCAATGATGCTCCTCTGTGGGATGCCACAAACATTAGTATTTTAATCTATGTGAAGCTGATGGGGAAGATCATCCAGCAGTTCAGGGTAGTATCAATATACTGATAATACCCAACTCTACCCAATCCTGGGCCTCACTGGACATGGTACCAAAATCTTGTCTCACTATCTGAAGGCTATAAATGTCTGGAGTGCTGAAGCTTGGAATGTAGATTTTCCATAATCAGGTCAGTCCTCTGGAAAGTGCTCCTGCTGGAGATTTTAACATTATTAGCTTTCCAATATACTAGATCTGTCTGCATGACACACTAGACCATATTATGATTGGATTAATGCACCAATTAAATCCAGATCATGGACAGAGTTTTACATAAGCTGTAACTATAACTTGAAGGATGGAATTTATATTACAATGGCATAGCATATATTCTATCATTTTTACGAAACCTTCTGATTCAACAGATAATAGATTCAAATGCATCAGTATATTGATACGATGCAAAATTTTAAAACAAGTTTTACATAATAAATATTTAAAAAGCTGGATGATACTTAGAAATAATATAAATAAAATAGAACATTTCAATGTCTTTCACAGTTACAGATATTCTTCTTCTTCTGAGTACCCCATTTGAGTAATCAATTAAAATAATGTATGCAATTGAGCAGTAGCATAAGAGATACAGGATAAAATGTATTTATTAATATATATACTGTAATCATTCATATTACAAGCATTTGATTTCCAAGATATCTTAGCACAACTGCATGTTTGAAATAACTAAATATTTAACTACAGTTGAAAAATGGAAAGGAATATAAATTATATGAATAATAAACAGGACAGTATTGTGAAGCTCATAGTAGGATTTCACGGGTGGGGGTTTAACAGTGAAAAAGAGCAATGTACTATCAGGTGATTTGTCACTGAAATTTAAGACTATACTGATTGAATATAAAGATTTTAAAGTTATTTGTACCTCAGCATGATATGCAAACTGGCCAGTTTGGGTTTATTCAACAAATCATGTTTAACATAATAAAGGCTTAGGACAAGATGTAAACTGTTGTACTGTTATACTGTTTACTGATGTAAACAAACAGTCTTACTGCTATCAATTAAATCCTAGTCCCCATATTTTCTTCGTTAATGGGTTTTTGATGAAGCAGTAATAGGAAAACAAAGGAAATCTAAAAAGGGAAGACAATATCTGAAATTCTTGAGTAGGGAAATTCTTAAGTAGGGAAATATTAAAAGCCCCAGACATATTTTGAGTAGAACTCTATCTCGACTTAAGAATTTTTCTTTTGTATCCACATTTCTCACATTTTTCTTCTTCTTGGATGCCAATTAATAGTCCAATTTGGCCATATTCTGGTTTTGTCCATGAAACATAGAGCTGAATGGAACTGAACAGCTAGCCTTCCGTTCAGACAAAAGTGATGAACTATCAGTTACTATTCTTTAAGGAGAAAAACTAGGAAAGTCCTTTTATTGCAAGACACAATACTAGATAGACTTACAGACAAGGTGAGGAAATTCTTAATAAATATCTACAGATAAAGTGAGGGGCTGCCACAAAGAAGAGGGAGTCAAGCTATTTTCCAAGGCACCTGAAGGCAGGACAAGAAGCAACGGGTGGAAACTAAGCAAGGAGAGAAGCAACCTAGAACTAAGGAGAAACTTCCTGACAGAACAATTAGCCCATGGAACAACCTGCCTCCAGAAGTGGTGAATGCTCCAACACTGGAAGTTTTTAAGAAGAGACTGGACAACCATTTGTCTGAAATGGTATAGGGTTTCCTGCCTGAGCAGGGGATTGGACTAGATGACCTCCAAGGTCCCTTCCAATTTTTTTTAATTATTATTATTATTATTATTGCTTATTTTTTCAATTAATATTAGAAGGGAGATCTATAAAGAAATAATATCAATAAAGGAGAATATTTGTAGCTCCAGTACGAAGTGAGGGTCCTTGGTGCTCTCTGAGCCTACTTATTTTCTTGCAGACGTTTCATTACCCAAACTAAGTAATATCATCAGTGCACTGATGATGTTACCTAGTTTGTGTAATGAAATGTCTGCAAGAAAACAAGCAGGCACAGAAAGCACCAAGAACTCCTCAAAGAAACAGTATCTTTTACTGTTAATCCTAGCAATTTAGCAAAGCTATCAAAACAACATCCTTACAAAACTTACGCAGGTAACAAATCTGTTGAGATCCTCTTCTAGAACATATCAAATTTATAATGATTTTTTTTTACAGATGAAAAAAAACATACCTCCCATAAATTAGCATCTGGACAATGGATGGTAAAAGTATAGATTATGATAATAGAAAAAGAAGTATTTTGTGGACAGTTATTTCTTTTAAAAGACAAAACAATATGGAAGACTGACCTTCCACAACTTGATGCCCTGCCTTACAGATAGAATCCAATAATCTTCATGAAATCAATGTGATTTTCCCCCCTGCTCTTTAAACACAAAGACCATGAAGAAGGAATATGATTAAGTTTATATGATATTTTTAGAAACTAAAGGGAAGTAAGTAGGAGTAAAAGACTGAAGAAGAGCAAAACTGGAGATTGTAATTGTGAAACATTTTTATGAGTATTGCTTTATAAACTTACCACATCCTTTGGAGGAGGCTCAACTTCCTTTTTTACCTTTTTACCCATTCTAAAAACAAACAGAACAGCAAGAATAGTCAGTGAATAGTACATTTTATATTTTTAATCTAATTTACATCATATATAAAAACATTGCTATAAAGAGATGAAAAATTCTTAAATTAACAAAATCTGTTCACTCATGTTAGGAAATAACAGTGGGTATTTTATACACATTTTTTAAAAACCCAAAGTGTACCTTTTCTAACTCCACTAACTAAACACTAGAATATCTGCGTCTCTTTAGTTGAGCTCAATTCCTGGTGAATACAAAGTATTATGGAAATGTTTGCTATTGCTCTCTTCCAGGATGAAAATTGAAAAATTAAGGAGTAACAACATTCTCAGCCTTAGTTTTGCTAATTTATAAGTAATTTCATTTGTTACCTTCTTGACAAACAACTTAGGAAAAATCAATTCACAGATTCTCCTGACCAATGCTTGCGGGGGGGGAATCACCGGTCTATAAAGCCTTATGAAAACCAGGCAAAGTTGGGGCCATCCAGATCTCAGACCAAATACTATTGCATAGGGCAGGCACAACAATAGGGGCACTCTGTGCTGGGGCTAGCCCACGAGCTCAAGAAAAGGTCCTCCCCTCCACATCACCTGTCCTCTTCGTTTCTAATCCTTTTTAACTTTAATTTTAATTATTCTGTGTTATCTTTTTTCTTTTTATCATTGTATAAGCTCTTCAGAGTCACTGCAATGATTGAGAAGGGCAGCATATAAATTTAATAAATAAATACATAATACACACATCCTGAATCCCATAAGACAACATTGTTTGAAAGACAGGATCTAGAGGATGCCAGTCCTGTCAGTTTTTTCAGATAGGCAGGAAATAGTGAAAGAAGTTATTTATCAAGAAGTGCTTTGAAGATAATAACCATAATGTTGAATTGCATTCAGAAGCCTACAGGCAACCACTGTAATTCATGAAGTAGCAGTGTTGCATGAGCATACCAAGGTATAAACATAATTACTTCTGCTGCTCCTTTCTGAAGTCTTCAAAGACAATTCCATGTAGAATATATTGTAACAATCCAGAGGTATATGTGACTATGAGTATGACTTCCCAATCCAGCAATGGGTGTAACTGGTGTACAAGATTTGTGTGAAAACTGTTCAGGCCGTGGTTTTCACTTATTCTTCAAGCAATAGTTGTCAGCCTACAAGTACATCAGATTGTTCACTAGGTCTGTTTAGGGAAGCTTCAAAATTCATAGCCACTCAGGATTGATACTGTTTAGTTAGAGATGCATATCTTAACATGCTAATGGATGACCCAGTAGCCTCATTAAACAGATATTAAACCGTAGGAGGAAAATAAGAAATATTCCATTCTAATTTCTTTCCTCTGATGGATTATCCACAACCAGGATGAATATCTTCTCAATACTGTGCCCAGGCCTGAAAACCAGACAATTCAATTAACTGGTTTTCTCACCAAGTTGTCTAAAAGTGTCTGTGCATTTTATCCACAACCTTCTCCAAAAAAAAGAGAAGGTTGGAATTGGATTGGAAATTGTCCAAATCATTGGATCCAGGAATGACTTCTTGAGAAGGATTCAAACCACAGCCTCTTTAAGCAGAAATGAAATCACTCCTCTCTCAAGGATGAATACATCATCACCTGAATCCCATCACACATCACCTCTTGACCAACCACCAAAGGATTTTATATTTCCATTTATAACTCCAATAATCCTCTCCACTTTCTAAGACCAACTGACTCAAACTCTTTCTGGAGTTCCATGGGAAAGCCATAACTTAGCTAATTAAACAGGAACTGTACGGCTACAGTCCCAGCTCTGAGTGAATGCAAGAGGTTTTATTCAATAGATACTTCAAAATATCCTTACAACAATCCTTCAAATGATCTTCTGGCCCAAATGTCCATAGGAGATATGGCTTATCTTAATTCAGGAGTGGGCAATTAATTTTTCCAAGGGGCCACATGAGAAACTGGGATTTTGTTGTTGAGGGTTGCCACTCCCTCCACTGTCACCCTCCCTGCCCAATGGCAGCAGGCCAAACAGGGACAGTTAAAGGGTCAGATGTGGCTGGTAGACTGTAAAATGCAATTTGTCCATTAAATAACAGAGGAAACAATACCTCCGGGTTTGGTGGTGGTTGGATTTTTTTGTTTGTTTTTTTATTTTGCAGCTCTTATTACCATGCTGTAATTCTTAATAAAGGCCCTTGCCTATATTTGATTAGATTTGCTTTTCATCTTCCTTCAACATCATTCCAGGCATTTCTTTTGCTGGCCCCCAATGCCTCATACCCAAATGAAAAATAAATAAATACTCTTGTCATCTCCAGTCCAAGAGAACCAACCACTCTCCTTTAAAACCCAACTTCATCTGGTACTATACACATAAATTATAGAAAGCACTGACAGTAGTGGGAACAGGCAGCTGAAATGGTACAACATGAAGAAAGCAAGATGGCCACTCTCCAAGATGATGAACTCTGCAGTAGCTAGCATCCAACTTGACCATTGGTGTTGATCCTGTTCCCATTGCTGTTTCCTCATAGCACCCATTTGCTCCAGCATGCTAGCATGTTGAAGCTTATCAATTCTTTTCCATGACTGATTGCTTCATATTTATTTTCTTGATTTCTTCTTGTTTTTTTCTCTATTTTATAAACCTTTATAAACCAGGTTGTCTGACATCGTACTTGTATAAAAAAGAATTTCTTAGCATAATAGTCTTTTTAGTTTTTGAACCATTTAGTGAGGTTGTAAAACATAATAAAATTGAAGTAATGGTGCAAAGAGTTGACTGGTCGCCAAGAAAGCGATGTAAAATAGTATTATTAAGTGAGCAAGGCTACAGTTATAAAGAAATTAGAAGAAACATTGGTGGAAACTCAAGCAAAGGTGGAATTTCTACTGTACACTTTTCCCAAAAGGTTTCCACAATTTTGGCCACTATTGTATCAGTTGTATAAAATGCTAAAATATTAATGACATTTTATAGACATACACATCCTTATGGATACTCCCATAATAAATATATTTATATATCTAATACACAAGAACATAATCAGAAAAAACTATCAAATCAAAGTTCTTCCTAAGAAACAGAATATTTTGAAAAGTGAACAAAACAATTTGTATCCTTATTTTAGACCATGGGGCAGTTGTTGAGAACACATTTGCACGCAACATATTCCAGGTTAAATCTTTCTTAGTATTTCTGATGATAAGGTTCAAAAAATCTCTTCATGATCTGATGTTTCAAAAATATGAATATTGCTGAGTCAGCCCATAATGAGTTTAGCATAAAACAGTTATATATGCTTTATTTGATAGTTTTGTTATTTGCATTCCAGTTCCGTATTTATTACTCACATAAATTAACTAGTATTCAAAAATAGCATTCTAACAAATATGGCATCTCTATATTAGTAGAGCAGATTCTTGTGCTTTAGTCTGCACTGCTAATATATGCATCCAATTCTAACCCTTTTAAAAATTGTCCTTCGGGATCCCTTTCAAAGTCTCAAGGGATAAGGTTGACAACATGAAACTCTAGCTATGCTGACCTCAACTGATTTATTACGAACTGGGAAAATATACACTTCAGAAAGGCATTACTTTCTTAATCCCTTGAAATCCATAAGTCAGAATCCCCCTTCTTTTTTCACCACACAATATTGGCTAAGTTGCTGTTCTTTAAATCCAAACTCATTATGCTTTTAAATGTTCTTAGAGAGACAAAAGTCTTAGCTATTGCTTGCTGACTATTATTTTGGCAGGGAGAGGTAAACATACATGTAACTTTTTTAAAAAAATAATCAATCTAAGCTGTCAACCAAACAACAATAAAGTAACTCCATGTCAGTTATAACATAAGCAAAATTGACCAGAATTCATATAACCATTGATTGGATAGGATCACATACTGCTGTAAGCCTGTTTGTTAAACAAAATATAATGGCATGGTTTGTACATAATTATAAGTTGTAAATCATAATTTACAAAACAGGAATGCTGGATTCATACAGTACAATTTGTTATGGTTCATTTGCATGATATATGAATGCAAGAAATCTTCATTTATTGTCTTAAATGTGAAATTATGTAAGATGAAAGAGATAAGTATTTCATTGGAAGAAAAATATATTACGTATTACAAACAGCAAAGGCAAGTCTATTAGCAAATGTCTTAGTACTGTAGATATTACAATATAGTAATAGTGGATTTCAGGAGGAGACTTTTTATTTTACCCCCTCTTACTATATTCAACAGTACAGTGTCAGCAATATAGTCCTTCAAATTTTGAGGTTCTGTAATCTTCCAAGATATGAAATGGACGCTTAATATCAGAACCATCATTAAAATGGCACAACAAAGAATATTCTTCCTGCATTAACTCAGGAAGTTCAAACTGCCCTAGGAGCTGTTGATACTGTTTTACAGAGGAATTACTGAATCTGTCATTTGTACTTCTATAACTGTCTGGTTTGCTACAGCAACCAAATAGGACAGGTACAAATTTCTACGGATAGTCAAGATTGCTGAAAGAAACATTGCAAACAGTGTTCCTTCCATAGAAGAACTATTAATTGTGCGATACAGAAGGAGAGCTGACAAGATATCTGTAGATCCCTCACATCTTGAACACAAAGTGTTTCAACTCTTTCCCTTAGGTTGGCACTACGGGGTATTATATGCCAAGACAACTAGACACAGAGAGTTTTTTCCCTCATGCCATGACTCTGCTGAACACCAAATTCTCGCAGTTGACAAAACAGGCGATTACTAATATGCATGCATAACCCATAGAGCAGTGATGGCGAACCTTTTAGAGACCGAGTGCCCAAACCCTGCCCCACCCCGGCCTGCCCCTGCTCTGCCCCCCCGCCCCCCACCCTGCTCCGGCGTCACCCCGCCCGCCCTCATGGCCATCCATGGCCCGCTGCAGCCCTGCTGCCATGTGCTTGGCCCTGCTGCCATGTGCTTCGCTGTGCTGCTCCACGTGCGCTGCACGCGG